TCACAAAGAACACTTTATTGAGTTTTTATCCAAATTACGCCGTAACTACATATACCTACCTAATGGGATAAAGTGTATTTTACTAGTAGTGGGGCGTATTGTGAGTTCGTACGCGTAGTTACCACCATCCTACCTATTTCCACCGCGAAGTAGTTATACGTTCCGTTTCGAAGGGTGAGACAGCCGTTGTAATATAGAATTGAGACTTAGAACTGATACCTCAAAGTGGGTGCGGCATTTAAGATGATGATATCTGAGCTCTGGTAACCACTTAACACTTCTATTACTGGTGGTAGGACCTCTTGTGAGTCCGCGCGGGTGTGTACCACCACCCCGCCTATTTTCTGCGTTGAAGCAGTAATGCGTTTCGGTTTGAAGGGTGGGGCAGCCGTTGTAACTATACTTGAGACCTTAGACCTTAAATCTCAAGGTGGGTGGCGCATTTACGTTGTCGACGTCTATGGGCTCCGGTAACCACTTAACACCGGGTGGGCTGTGAGCTCGTCCACCCATCTAAGCAATAAAAAAATGTGTGCGTGTACTAGTGTACACACGTAAGAAGTGAAACTTGTTTATGGCCTTATTTTTCGAAAAATGATCTACATGCAACTTTCTAGAAATTGGTTAAATAAAGTTAAATTAGATAAAGTTTAAACAAAAGGATTTTATTATCATAGACATGAATACAAAAAAGTTAAATTAGATAAAGTTTAAACAAAAGGATTTTATTATCATAGACATGAATACAAAAAAGATGGCGCGTAACGGAAAAATGTGACGCGTAACCGAAAAATGTGACGGTAAATTTTTTTCCAACGCCGATAAGGAAGTTTCACTTCAAAAAAATATGTGCGTGTACTAGTGTACACACGTAAGAAGTGAAACTTGTTTATGGCCTTATTTTTCGAAAAATGATCTACATGCAACTTTCTAGAAATTGGTTAAATAAAGTTAAATTAGATAAAGTTTAAACAAAAGGATTTTATTATCATAGACATGAATACAAACAATGAATGGTGAAGAAAAAGATGGCGCGTAACGGAAAAATGTGACGCGTAACCGAAAAATGTGACGGTAAATTTTTTTCCAACGCCGATAAAGAAGTTTCACTTCAAAAAAACAACGGGGTGGACCGCTTAAAATTTATATTAAGTTATTAATCTATGGTGGGCCTTGAGTTCATCAACCGTCTAAGCAATGCAACAAATATGCGGACTCAAGAAACCAGTAGCCACAATCTAAGCTCGTCTGTGCAAATCGTTTGAGAAAAAAAAAACTTCATTTCGCATGATGCATACTGAACATGCAATGACTGCGTAACTATTGCAAAAGTCAAAACTTGAATGACTTGAACGGGATGAGTCGTTAGCATTTTATGCCTTTAATGGTGGTTAAGTCGTGATTAATTATATGCTCGTTTAATCAGAGATGGGCTCATCGACCGTATCCGAGTGGACCATATTTGGCATCGACGCTAGAACATATTTTTACTTAGAACATAAAAATAATTATTTTACACCATATATGTATTGTTAACTTAATATTGTTTTATTTGGAAAAAAGATTTTGGAAGATGCTTTACCTTGCTATGATTTAAATGTAAGATTGGGATAAGTTGGATATAGTCGCTTTGTGCTAAGCTCTGAAACAGATGATGCGGTTTAGATTTGAATCCACATTTTGATGGATAATACTCTATTAATAGATATTATTAAATATAATAATATCGGTCCAGCCGTTTCGGAGTCTATGGGCACAATATACACCCATGGCTTTTGTTTAAATAGATTAGTACATTGACATTTATTCACGAGAGTTTTTTTTTTGATTAATGTGTTAAATTAAGAAGGTGCCACGTCCTCTATTTACTGAAACTGGTTCCATCCTAGAACAGGTACCGATTTTAATTATGCTTATGCATATGCATTTTAATTATGCTCATGTAATATATATTATTTATATATGCACAAACATAATATATAAGCCGAAAAAATGTTCATTAACGACTTCAACTGTGGAACGACGCCCACTGAGTTTCTCGCCGGATCTTCTCAGTGGGTCGCGATTCCGATCCAGTGGTAGATTCTCTGAAGCACTGCTCTTGCTAGAGCTAGTGTTAGTAGATTCTCTCAGGTTGAGCCCGTGAGCTTACTTACCCGTCCGTGCGTATCTGGAATAACTCTTTATGCCATTAGCGAATAGGTAGGGTAAAAAAATAGTGGAATGAAATGTATAAAGGGGATTGCCCACTCTCCATAGTGTGCTAGGCCCAAGATGGACATCAAATATTACTATAAAAATGTACTGATTCAAATTCTTAAATGTATTGGATATCTAAAAAATATATTGAAATTGACGCCACTATTATAAAAAATATAATAAAAATAAAAACTCGTTTTGAGGTTAATTTTCTATATAAATAAGCGTCGGATTGTGAGATACTTCAAGAACTTTTCTTTTCTTAATGTTTAAGATGTTCCTAATGTATTTTTATCCAATAGGGTATAAAAACACACTTAATTCTTTAAATATCTATATTTTCTTCATCTTCATACACAATTAGTATCATCTAAAAATAGCAAAGGAGAGCATATACACGGTTTTAAATCTTGGTCAGGGTAAAACCACAATTCACACAATGTTTTTTAGTCGTAGTATGAAACGTTATTGATAAAAGTAAAATAAATCGAAGAAAAATCAAAACACATCCATTTTGTACGCAAGCACAACACCACAAGCAGCAAGCGAAGTGTCAGTCAGTCAGATTAAATTCAGTGTTGTCAGTATAAAGAAAAATAATTACATGAAATTCATATATCGNATGAAATGCTGTAATAATCTTAGTAGCAAAAAGGTAAAGTGAAATAATTGTATTATTTGTATTCATGTCTATGATAATAAAATCCTTTTGTTTAAACTTTATCTAATTTAACTTTATTTAACCAATTTCTAGAAAGTTGCATGTAGATCATTTTTCGAAAAATAAGGCCATAAACAAGTTTCACTTCTTACGTGTGTACACTAGTACACGCACACATTTTTTTTCAATAGAGTTACTTTTTTTAAAGTACTTATTGTAAACTATAGTGGCGCTTATTTGCAAGAAAGTAAATGCATATTTATTTATGACAAAATTAATGCACTAAGTATTTTTTCTATAATCTATTGTCCGCTTTGGGCCGAAAATGGGCCATCCCCTTTGCAGGTTCAGTTATTATTGTCTTGAGCTTGTATGTTTTTTTTTTTTTTTTTTTTACCTACCTATGCTGATAGCCTTGAGAGGCTATTTCAGCTTCACCCTAACATGCTCACGGGGCTCAAACCGAAAGTATTGCTAACACTGGCCCTAGCAAGAACAGTGCTTCGCAAAATCTACCACCGCATCGGAAACGGGACCCACTGGAAGATCCGTCGAGAAACTCAGTGGACTGTGTCTGTGGGTTAATTAACTCGTAGAGCCCTTCGTCGCAAACGACGGGTTCGACGAGAACGGTGACCGGTGCTTGAAGTACCTAAAGACACTGTTAGTGGATCGGGACGATCCGTAATGACGTGTTTAAGGCGACGTCGACTGTTTACCAGTCGGTCTACTGGATCGGGTATGTAATTCCCGGCGGCCACGACGAGAAGGTTTTCATGACGTGCCGCCTTTTCGAAGTGGCGCAATGATGCCGACTGTAGATACTTACTGACTGAGTCAAGCTCCAGGTCATCATGGAGATCCACGTTCTTTAGGACCCATGGTGCTTCGACGGCTATGCTGCAAAAACGGGATTGAATAACTTGAAGGGGTTTCGAGTTGGTGCGGGCCGCGTGAGCGAACACTACACTTGCATAGGTCATGACGGGGCGCAGGCAAGTTTTGTAGTGTCACTTTATTTCGAAGGGACAATTTGCTTCGCTTGCACATCATGGGATAGAGACGTCCTAATATGAAGGCGGCACGGTCGCGTAGCTCGTCTTGATAGGTAATGCCCACTATCGTCCGGTCTATTTCTGCTGGAAAGAACACGTTCATGTATAATAAGGTAAAGATAAAAAGATATGCTTTTTCAAAACAATTGCGACCCCGATCTCATGTCTCAAAGTTGGCCGTATTGAAATTGTGATGTATGTATATCGTATCGGAACATTTACGAAAAAAGAAATATTTCAAGCGGCTACGTACGACATCGCAGACAGCACCAGAAAAAAAACTGGACATTATTTAACCCATAATTACCGTATTTTTGATCTGCAAACTATTTTAAAAGCTTTAAATAAAAAAATGGGTTCGCGGTGATTCACGCCGAGATACTTTCACAAAAAATTAAAGAGCAGGTACCTAATTTACAACTCCGACTTTAAACATAATATTCTTCTACGGGTCTTTCATCATGGGTTTGCGTCTGTGGGTTTGGTTTTTTGTTTAAAACATTGTCTTACGTTAAATGCACGAAACTGCTAGAGTCATAATCTTTTCAAACGTCTGTTTATTTGGTGGCAAAATATAAGTTTGATTGTAGTAGAATAATCAATAACGGTATGTTTTCGTTACTATTTCGTTATAGTATTCCATTCGTATTTTTATCAATAACAGGATAGATAAATTTTAAAAACTATCAGGTACAAAACGCAGATAGTAATAGTCCGCTAATCCTGCATTTATGGTTAAAAATAAATTTTAAGAATTTAGAAAAATACAACAATAGTTACAATTATTCACGCATTGTAAAATTTAATTACTAACTGTTTACAAAACTTGACGACAAGAAATTTTAATGCTTTATAAAAACTACGTTACGCACACGTACGACTACGACGAGCTTTCCCGCCAAAGATAAAAAGCTCTGGAACACGGTAAACAATAAAATAGTTACGGTAGTGGAGATAAAGTTGATTTTACAAGAACTGAATTATCTTAAATGACCACACATCATAGCTTCGAATCATCTGTCTCGCTTCGTTTCCGTTAGCGCCATCTCTTTTAAAACTTAAATCAGTTAGAATTTGTTGTTCGCTTGGGGCTGACGTTCGTTCGTCTATTGAATTTGTTTACATGTTGTAAACAATTTGATATTTTAATGGCAAAGACATTTCTCTTGAATAATGTGACAATCAAACAGTGATCAGACTCTCCTTGTTTTTAATATCCGTGAATAATTATTTAAGATGAGATTTGCGCGGCTGTTTTTCTTCGTTGTTTTGGTTTTGGGACTGTCGTGCAGTGCGGGGGCGGGAGTCATTGGTGATCAATGCGACTGGATTGGCAGGTATGCTGATGAAAGTTTTTCTTTATCTATTGTTTTGTTTATGACCAACTTCCTAGAGTTTCAGCTTACAATCAACTCACCAATCTAGGATTTCTTTCTATGTTATAGGATATAATATATAAGACACAAGAATAATTTTAGACTCTGGGCCAGGATCGAGCCTGGACAGTACAGTAGTTACGAAAGAGCGACCGGCCCTAATAAAGTAATACTTGTCTCATGTCTGTAGTCACCGTGAAAGCTTTGTTATGATTTTTCGTTTATTTTATTATATAGCTGTGGACCGCGGTTTCAACACTAACGCGTTCCATTTTTCCGGGTTAAAGGGTGGCATGTGTCGCTCTCTGGTAAAAGTCGATTTGTTGATCTTGATGATCGTAAAATCTCCAACCAGCGAACACACTGTTGTAATTACTATAGCAGATTAACGCGGCGTTGTCCGGGTTATGCAAGTTGCTCTCATTAGGAAAGTATCATATTCTTTTTCATCCGGGTTATAGACTCAACCGCTCAATCATTTTAGCGAGATAACTAACAAACAGACAAACTTGGACAATAATTATCATATGGAGATAGATAAGTATGTGAATTAACGATAACTTTTGCATTTTTTTATCAAATGATTCAAATTTTTCTATAACGGATTATAATAACTTTGTGTGAAATAAATATAGTAATCAAAATAAAGCAATCAAAAAGTGAAATGAATAGTGAATATTTCAATACCGCATGAGTATATTTTTTTGCCATTCTTTTATTTCTTTGTCTAATTTTATTTCATGGTGAACCACTAAAATGGATATGTACCCCTTTTTCGGAAATTACATTCTCAAATATCACATCACATTTGCTTAAGGTAAATGCACTATTGTATACTAATTGAAAAGGATTCTCGTAAGTTGAAATGAGGCCGTCAGCTCAAAATCGGCCTATCCCTAGTTTTAAACCATAGATAACAGATGATTTTGAAAACATCATTTTATCGCGTATTTTTTTGCCTACGAAATATTGTAAAGGTCGAATCGAACCTCATTATCTCCACTAACTATGGTAAACTTAGGCCACTTTTGCGCTGACGGCCTCAAATATTTCCATCTGGAATTTTTCGTTTCATCTCGGACGATTGAGTTTGTTCCTCGCCCGAGGCGGTGACGATCTTCGACCGCAATTTGCCAATAAAGCCAACGTTGCAATATCCATTTAACTGATTATAAATTATTAACATGATGGCGTGTTTTGAATAGGTGGAATGTATGATTATTTTTAAAACATTACGTTTATAAATTTCACTAGTCACAGCACAGTCCTTGGTATCTAAAAAACGGTGCATGCATGTTGGATTTCATAGTAGGATAAACTTTAAAACATGCGCTATGTTTTTCAAGTGATACATACTTGATTTTATTTATTTCCTAACCAAAAAAAAACTAATATAAAAATAGTGCCGACTGTCTTCGAATTAAAACCTATGAACTAATTACGAATTTTTTTTTGTGAGGAGTGATTTTTACACCCTTTATATTAGCTTCACTTGTATGTACTTTGTTTGTAACCGGCTCCTTTAGGCGCGATTTTGACCCACTTTAAACGGCAAGATTTCATTCAAACTTTATAGATTTATCGAGGACCGATGACAATTCAATATTAAAAAAAAATTGAAATTCAATTAAAAAAGGAAAAATAAATAATAGTTTAAAAAACTTTATATAAAATTCAACTAAAAAATAGAAAATAAATTTTAATAAATTTAAATTGAAAATAGTGAAAAAAATATATATTTTATTGTAAAAAAAAGCGTGGGGTGCTTTTTAAGATATTATTGAAATATACAAATTATAATATGCTTACCTGCTTCATTCGTTTCCAAAACATAATTTATGTATAATAGAATGTTGCCAGCCAAAGGATAATTCAAAATAGGTAGTTTAACTCTTTCCTGACTAAAACATTTAAATGTGACATTGACAAAACTTGTTTAACAGTTTAGATAGTAAGAAGGAAAAAAAAACTAGTTATTTGAGATTTTAACTATCTATATTGTAATTTTATAACTTATATACGAATAAGACAAATTCATGTGTCCGAATACTTCACTGTATACAAATATATTAATAAACATTCATTGACGTCAACGCACAGTAAAATGAAGGACATAATTGAGTTAATGCATTACTAAACCGGATATGATGGTGTATCGGAGGGTCGATTACGGAACAAAATCAACAAGTTTGGTTTCCCATTCCCCGGGGTGGCGTGGGAAACCTATGGAGAAAATGTTCTCGCCATCCCCCGTGTAATGGCCACGTGACCCCTCCGGGGTAGTTATTAACTTTGCATTTATTACTTAATTTATAAATAAGCGGTGGGAAGTTATGACTGGCTTCGTTTCAATATAAAGCGACACAAGGTAATGAAAAACATAGTATTCGCAATAAGAAGTATTACGGAGATGTAATATTTCAACAAAACTATAATAAAATGGCGATTATCTAATATTTAATGATTTGAGAGTATTTTTAGATTTCGATCACTTACTCATTTATTATGGGTTTTTTTTATTGCTTAGATGGGTGGACGAGCTCACAGCCCACCTGGTGTTAAGTGGTTACTGTAGCCCATAGACATCCACAACGTAAATGCGCCACCCACCTTGAGATATAAGTTCTAAGGTCTCAAGTAAGTTACAACGGCTGCCCCACCCTTCAAACCGAAACGCATTACTGCTTCACGGCAAAAATAGGCAGGGTGGTGGTACCCACCCGCGCGGACTCACAAGAGGTCCTACCACCATGTTAGATCGCACCCATGTCTATACGATTCACCACGTATCAATCCTGCCTCTGGGTTTGAACAGTATTTATGTGCATACATATTATTATGTCTGACGGCTTGTTTGAATGCAATGAAGACTGAGTGGACAGCGAAATTTACTCCTACTCAAACGGTAATGTTCAAGATTAATTGCACCTCATTATGAAAAATTTCTTTAATTGTATTATGTATTAAAGAAAAAAATTCTAAACTGAATACGTCGTTTTTATGAGCAGAAATCGACATATAAAAAGGACTTTTTAACTTATGGTAATGAAAATATTTTAGAAAAAAGTTGATCAACTGTCAATAAAATAAAATGAGAATATCATGAATGTAGTCGAAGTGACAACACAAAAGCTACTGGTCAGATCTTAATCAAATTGAAATAGGAACATCAGCATACAAATAACACGCACAAAATAAAAAAATAAAAAAAAAATCGGCATGAAAAGAATACAAGAGACGGCCGCAAAAAGCAGATCGAGTGTCAATGTACCAGCATTTGTTGTCGCGTATTGTGCCAGATTGAAGTTCGTATATTAATATTTATTAGGGAGAGCTGAGTGAACGAGGGGACGGAGATCTGTTTATTATAATATCCTCTTCGTATTATAACACGTTCGCACGATATGCGCATCAATCCTGATTGGTGCCCTACCTCGATTGGTGTTGGTCCTTATCACAAACACTACGAACAATTGGAACTTCGAATGTCTTTTGTTACCATACTAATAATCGCTATATAATCTGTAGTTTATGAATTTAGGCCATGAAAATTGCTTTTGAAACTAGTGTATTTGTTATTGGCGATAAGTACGACGAATTGTGCCCGTTTCTATTGCGAACTAGTCACGTATTCCGGCCGATATTAAAAACAGACTTGACCTCTAGACCTATGGTGGTATTAGCGTTGTGATGTCTCCAGTAACCACTTAACAGATGAGCCGTGTGTGAGCCCTTCTGTAGATCTACAGCACTAATTAGATCTAATGACTGACACTTTGAGTTAGGAAGTGAATGAGCAATTGTCAACGAAAGAGAAATACAGACTTGCCGAATGAAATGTAAACAAGTTTTTGATTTTTCCACACTTTCATTTGAATAAATAATGGTTTAAAAACTAAAAAAAACACGCTTTCATAGAAAGTAAATGTATTGTAAAAAAAGCGTGGAATGCTTTTTAAGATAGGTATTATATAAATAATAATCCTTCTACTCATATCTGTCAATAAAATATTTGTAACTATTGAAACCACGCACCCCGAGACAAACCGAAACGCATTACTGCTTCGCTGCAGAAATAGGCGGGATGGTAGAAATAGGCGACACCTAGCCGTGCGGACTAATAACATGCCTTATCACTTATAGAACGGATAAAAGTCGTATGTATTACTGTGAGAATGAATAATGACATTTCTTCAGAACAATTACAGAAGGAAGTACATTATAATGGATTTCAACAGTAAATCGTCACATCTGTTTTCAGTATATGGACTAAAATAAATACGCGTATATCAGTATGTATGTATGTATGTATAATAAACGGAATATTTTTTGCGGTTTCGCTTCCCTGCATTGACCTACATAATATAGGGTTAACCGCGAAAACGGAAGCAGTTATCTCAGTGCCTGTATCGGGCAGTTACGATAAATAATCACAGGGCAGAGCCGGCGCTGACGGAATCCCACGACGGCCATCTGGTGTTCGACGTTAGCACATCACGAATCCAACATAAATAGCATCATCACCTACCATTTTAATTCGCAATTAGCGTATGAGATCGGGCCAGCATAGCTTTTCACATGGGACGAAGGTTGTGGGAACAACACGCTTCGTTACACGCCGAGGAATCTACACATGTTGCTGGATGAAATCACGGCTATTTTTGAGCGACGATTGTTTTTATTCGTCCGCCAATTGAGGGCAATCAGCGACACGTGCTCCGCCCGAGACGTTCGCCTCAAACATTCATTGAGCTTGTTGATTCGTCTCCTCGTCGATTCGTGTAGTTGCTGCTACCATCACCCGCCTGAGCGTTGACTTCGTAAGATTTTTAATTGGCCACGAATTTAAATAAACTACGCGCAATTGGTATGATTTGGTTGAATCAGCATGTTAAAAGTTAATTGTAGGAAGCAAATTGTGTAATTTGTATTTGGAACATTACAAAAACTATAGAAACAAC